ACAGTCATCTAGCGAATTGGGGACATCCGCTGCTAGAGACTATAAGACAGCCGCGGAATCTTGTGGCTTGCCATTCCTCTCCGTCATACTACACTGCGGGCTTGAAGAGAACTTGAATAGAGCAATGGGTAGTGACAGAGGCAACGGATCAAATACTAAGCTCACCGACCTCGAAATCATTCAAGCTATCAGGGAAAAAGAGGACCTTCATCGGTTCAGAGACACGTATGAGATGGAGCTAGACGTCACCAATCTATCTCCCAATGAAGCGGCTACTCACATATACGAGCACGTTAATAAGATCTTACAGAATGGCTTTGATGAGAATAGAATGGATACTTAGACGAGTCCTTCAGTGCATATGTTAGAATCCAGGCAACTGAGAGAATACCGATGAAACTAAAACTTCGAAGGCACTAGTGGTTTCAATAGGAGTCCGTTGACTACTTCGAGCGGCATCAACTGGGTCGAAGATCGCGCATGTTGTACGTGCTACATAATTAGTCTCCGCCCTCACGGCAGCATAGTCTTGCTCACAGTAAGCGACAGAAGCGATTGACCGTATTGTCAACTACTGCATTTTGCGAGCACACCCAACCCCGAATCATCCCATTCCATCCCATGAACGTGAGCAGTCAAGTGTGGGACAGGACAAGACGATTTTTTTTCTATTTTTGGTTCATCTGTGAATAGCAGGAGTAAACATGAGACACACCTCGCTCAAGCAAGGGATTGAAGCGTTCCTGAGTTGAGGTTGGGGTCCTGTAAGGGGTACTCACATGCAGTCCTCCGCTAGAAAGGATGAATCACAAGAATAGCAATGGCATTTGGCAGTGTACAATCAGCTGCAAGAGGATAATTCTCCGACCTTACACACCTAGTGGTCCACGGCTTCGGGATGAGACATTCCATTCGGTACGTACCTCCTAAACATACCTGCCATGTGAGTTATTCGATATGCATGACCGAGTATGTCGTGCGCTTCGCCCGTCAATCTGCGTAACCCCCCTCCATGACCTCGTAATCCAGCTACCTGTTGGTCAAGAATATGAACTCCTGGCCTTGAACTTCGCAAACACTGCTACGGCTCACGCTAGCAGGCGCGAACCACGCTGATGACATTAGTCAATGCGACCATGTCAGAATCAACTGGCGAACGCGCTGCAGAATTGTACGAATATCTGATACCATTCACTAGAGACTCCTGTCTAATGCTCGAATCTAGCTACGATGGTCTTCTGCGAACGAAAATTTTCCCCAAACCAGACCGCGCCTACGCTTACGAAGCACAATTCCGCCTGGATCATGCACTTACGCCGATACTTTTCTCGCAAAGACCCCCGATGCACTTCCATCCATATCAAGATGAATATATCAGCGTCGTCTCCGGGAAGCTTGTTGTCGATGTCGACGGACGTCAGCATATACTAACGCCTGAGGACGGCGAGCTTTGCGTCAAGGCCTGGTCCAACCACCGTCTTTATCCCCTCTACCCTTCCGAAATCGGCGAAGACGGAACTACATCACTCGAGACTACGATTCGTGCTTCTGGTCAACAATCGGGTCGCGCTTATCAGGAAGATATTCTGTTCTTGGAGAACTGGAGCAAGTACCAAGAAGATGTCGTGTTGAATAACAAGAAGATCAGTCTCATTCAAGTTTTATGTGTAAGTCTGTTATTGAAATCTACGTAACCAAAAGTCATTTAACTGATCGGAGTAGATGTTCGATGCTGGCGGCTCGTACCTTTCACCTCCGAGTTGGCTGCCATTCGGTCGATATATATCTCGCTTCATGGGCGTCCTTGTGGGAAGATGGATTGGTGCTTTAATGGGATATCAGCCTTACCAACCTGAATGGTCAACAGATTGGGCGCTGGCTTGTGCAAAGATGGAAAGCTCTACCTTTCAACGCAAATTTGCTGACCGAACTCTGGCAAAATGATTGGGTCAGTCATTACTGCTTGGCTGTACTCGCCATAGGGTGCAGTTGGGTCGTAGTATCAGAGCTTTGTCTCCAGGTAAGACGATCAAGACTGAAACACTGAAGTTCTGTGGAGAGCCAATAGGATGGTCTGTAGATGACTATCATTGCTCGGCCATTGATCTGTTCATTCAACTGTGAAACCCGCCTGTCCATGAAAGCTGAACTGTGATCCAGAAACGTCATGAATTTGACACCCAAATCCGAAACACCCTAACAAAACACTATTATTCAGATGATTCTATAACACGCAAAGGTGGTAAACCCTTTCTTATAAACTTTAAATACCGATTCCAGTCGCAGCCATTTGGGTTCATCCTGGAGAAATGCAAATACTTACCTCAAGTGGCTATCTTGCTTCCATTTAATAGCCAAAATGTTACTACCACAACACAATCAGTCCATCATCTTTTTCATTGCTGCATTGAATGAGCCTGCGGGACGTGTGATCCTTGATGAGGAGAATGAACATCTCTTAAATTGCGTACAATCTCGATATGTTTTCCCTGTTTCATTTTACATCCGCTCATTGAAGCCCACGGTTCTAGCGACACTTGGCCGAGACAAAAACAAGAAAGACATTTATGTAAAGGATCCGAATATTTCTAGAGCACACTGTACTTTTGAAATTGGCATAAAGACTGGCATCATCATGCTCTACGACAGGTCCTCCAACCGGACGACTGAAATATTTGGAGAAAATTCGTGTCAGATGAGAAATGATATTGAGCCTCGTCGCATCGTTGTAGCCCCCAAAATTCAACACGAAATTCCGACTAGGACATCCTTCCCAGACCCAGTTTGAGTTCGAGCTGATTTGGCCCGATAGTGGACTACATACGTCTATGATAATTGAAGCGCAGAAGCTAAAAGCAGATGCGCATATATTGAAACAATGTTCCGAAGCTTTGACCGAAGCTTACCGCTCAGAAAGCTTTGTATCACCAGCTGCGAGGTCATGGGCGACTGGAGACCTTGCCGAGAGCCGCATAAGACATGTTGATCTCGGCATTCTTCTTGGGCGGGGCGGTAACGGCGAGGTTCAGAAGACTCTTGATGTTGACAATGGAACTGTTATGGCGACAAAACTTATCAAAAAAGATCGTGCAAGGGACCATTGGTTCCAGGTTTCAAAGATGACGTTGGAACGCGAGATTCGCTTACTTGCAACATATAAACACGTAAGAAGGCATACTAGCCCCAATGCTTCTCCCCTACATCCTATTTTTTTTTTGACTTTCCGTGGGGCTGGCTGCATTTTTAACGAGAAGATAGAGACGAATTATTCAATATTTTGGTGCGCGAGGATGGAATGATGATACGATCTTCATTCATATGGAGTTGATGAAAGGATCATTAGCTGACCTTGCAGTCAAGGAACCGACAATCATTTCACAGCTTTCAGACAAAATATTCAAAAGCATGCTACAAGCTTTGGACTTCTTAGCAATCAACAGGATCCTGCATAGAGACATCAAGCCTGATAACATTCTGTATGATGTGGACAACACGTCTAAGTACTCGTTCAAGCTAACAGATTTCGGATGGGCTGCTCATACTGACGAGGCACAATCCCTTCGAGCGGCCAATCGTTTCACTGTAGCCCCAGAAGTGGCGGGGAGGGGACAACAAAGTTCGAAATCTGATGTATGGTCCTTGTTTGTTACCATGGTTCTTTTGCTGAACGCAAGAAATTTCCAAGAGACAGCGAAACGGTTCATAAAAGCATCGCAGTTTCAACTAGAGGTTTTAAGGATTGCTGTGGATGGGACGAACATCATGTCTCCGGTCCGCGAAATGGCAATCCCCATCTCAGAAAAGCGTTGTTCAGCGGCACAAATCTTACTCAAGTATTTTCACGGAAAAGGCCTCACGACCCCTAGAACAGACATACCTCCAATGATTCCATGGAGTGATGACTTTGTACAACAATATTTGAAGAGCCTGCAGCATCCAGGCACAAAGCGCCTGCATAGTGAGAAGGACGATGACGAGGCGGCGAATTCCCAAGTCATTGAACATCACCGGATCGCAGCGGTAGCGCAACAGTACCTAGTCCACCCGAGGGTCAAAAGATTGAGGTCAAGCGGCCAGTACCACATGACTAACTACCACCGGAGAAATGCTGTCGGTGATTTCACGGTTCCCAAGCCAAGACCAACTAGCATTCTGACAAACTTCATGCGCAACCGGACTCATTGGCCCTGGGGATTCGGTACACAGACAACCAAGCACTTTCAAACAAATCCAGATATAATTCATAAAGATCTTCCCAAAACACTCAAGACAGTCCACGAGACACCAAAGCCTCAGCATCCCCCACCCACGTTCGCAGCTGATCCGGGTACTCGAACAAGACAAGATCCGGCTGAATTTGATTCGCAAAAGACACTGATTGGAGCTGATTCAAAGGAAGTAGTCGTAGCGCGTTTTTATAAGCATGCCGAAGTCTCTCGAGATACCAATCGATCGTTTCCTTCAGACTCTGCAGGACCAAGTCTTCCAAGCTCACTCCCTTGCACCTGGCCGAGGTCAAACAGATAGAAGGTTGACCAGCTACGATTGCAAGTTTCTGTAACAAGATTCTTCTAGGTAGATATTAGTATCACGATACATAGTGACTTTGTGTTCAAACTGGGCGTCGAAGATAAGTTCAATCGGTTCTCGCTGAATCAAGAGGAGAAAGGTGTTTTTCTCTGTGTTGATAAGTCATTTCTGTACCTGTCAGTGTTCTGACTTGATTATCTCCAATAAATGAATAAGCAAAGTTACATATAACTTTCAACACCACAATGATCAAGACACTCACAAACTGCATAATGTCATGAGAGATGTCACATGTTACTGAGGATTGATTTCGCTGCTTTGAATCAATAATAAGGGGGTGTCACCAGTGGCTGAGATGTGGCTGAGCCCAGAAATTTAGCCGAGATGACTATCTGCCAGAAACCTAGCTAGACCAATTTTGCGATTAGAGTCATGATTCTTCTTAAAGCCTTGGCCTTTCATCAAAGCTTGGCACTTTGGCGGAGTGGTTAAGTACTTCTCCCCCTTCTCAACTTATAAAAACTAGTACTAACCTCTTCTACAGCGCGCGGGCCTGCTAAGCCCGTTCCTTCGGGAGCGAGAGTTCGAATCTCTCAGGTGTCGGTTTCTTTCTTTTTACTTGTTTTTCATTTTTTACAGGTAGCTCTAGCTTCTCTTACTCTTATCTTTGCTTCTGTGAATCGACATCTTTCTATTTCTCTGCTTGACATTTCTTTCTATTTCCCCATGGCTTGATCATCTAATCGTACATACCGGAGCAAAAGCCTCTCAGTGTCACCAGGTTGGCACAAGCTGCGGAATGAATCCGAGCTGTAGCAATTCATAATTGATTTTGTCTATTTCATTACTTGGTATCTGGCCACTTTTTGTTTTGTTAACAAGGTCGCCGCACAATCCAACCCATCGGCCTGTGCCACCTCTTGTTTCTTCCCCTCTACCCCTCCCGGCATTCAATCTTCCTTCGTTGTTCGTAGCTGCGAAAATGCCCAGACTGCCGCGATAGGCCTGATCAATCGAATGCACTAGATATGAGGTTTTGTTTTTTACTATGACCACTCTCAGTGAAGCGCGTCTCATCCTTATAGTCATGTGATGCCGGGCGGCCGGCCGAGCCCGTACCTGCCTGCCACCAAATCCTCCCAGCTACAAGGTAGGTGCTATCCGGCTGCTGCGCACCTGGTCTACCTTCCTTTTCTGCGCCTTTCAAAGGCGCCCGCTTCATCCATAGAACCAGCATTGACAGTGCTATCTGACCACTAGCTTTGGAAACTGCGACAGTTGCAGCTGATTGAACTGAGGTCATCTTATGATATCGAGGATCTACTCCATTTGGTCAATGGCTAGCACAAAGGTCTAATTTCTTGTGATTTGCTAATTGAGAATTAGCATGATACAGTGTGTTATGATACATTGATGTAGATACACCGATACGCCTGACTGCGTCGGCGAGTTTGATACAAGTGACAGCTTTTAAACAGCTTGCCAGCGATATATTTACACCCAAATCTTATGCGTCTTCCTCGCATTCCTCTCCCCTCTGATTTCCATTTTGATTTCTTAGTCTTCTCTCCTCTACCTCTCAGCCATCATATTTTTGACGCCCTTGAAGTAATCCATATCGACCTTCTCCTGAATCTCTTCCTTGGTGAGCCAATTGAAATCTTTCAAGCCCATCTTGTTGTTCTTCAAATCGGCCTGGCCGGCCATGATTCTACCCTTGATGAAGAAGGTCTTCTCGCCCCTTTGTTTAATGGATGTATCCTCGTTGAACTGTGGCTGCGTGACGATGTGGGCGACTGGTACGCGACCGACCATCCATGTATTCATGTTGACACCGGCTGCCATTTCCAAGGCTAGTTCGGCAGTCTGGACTTGTGTTAGGTCTTGAACCGGTATGTTCGACATCAGTGGGACTTACTTTGTGTATGTTACTGTCTGTAGCGACATCTACCGAGGGAAATACCCAGGATCCATCTGTTCGTTGAACAATCAGATACAATGTGCGATCCAGTTTGCGATCTAACCGCCGTATATCGTTCGTCTTGTCGGCGTCGGTGATTCGTGGTTGAGGCTGTTCAATGGGGACGATATCCTCGGGAGCGGCCTCCTCGCCGTCTTCGGTAACACGCAGCTCGGCGTCCTTGACTAGGATCTGGCGTAGACGCTCTTCATCGCTCAAAGTGCTGCCGACGAGTAGTTCGTCGTTCCAGGCATTTCGACCTTGGGCATAGTACCGACCGAGCTCCTTGGCGGCGATCCTTCCACGCTCCTCGAACTTGATGCGCCAGTCGAGATCGGAGGCGGTATCCTTTTTGAAATAGAGAGTGTGTTTAAAAGGGAGGACCAATCGCTCGTTGAGACGTTTCTGGTAGAAGAAAAAGGCGTTCTCGAAGGGTGTGAGGGCTCGGGTGATTAGGGGCGCTCTCGTGAGGATGACACCGCCCTTTATTCTGTATTCGGCGCGGCGCGATGCTGTGACGGGTGGATGGGGCTGTGATTCTGTGGGTTTGAGGTGATGGGCTTCTGCTAATGTTGCGGCCTCTGCTGAATACGGGCGTATCTGGGCATTTCTACAACTGGTACATATTCTGCTGGTCGGCCCTATTGAAGCATACGAATTAGCATTGAAGGTGTGAATTCGACTATCTGAGAGAATGAGCCCATACTCTTTAATAAGGCAGCTGCAATACTGCTACCTCTGCTGGAGGCGGCCATAATTGTGTTGTCGTGGCAGATGAGGATAGACAGGACCAGGCTTGGAATTGCTGTCGTCGCGTGTTATCGAATTGATGAGATCCATCAACTTTTTTTCGAAGCTGAGGTTCCAAGCCACAAGTGATTCCCAGATAAATGGAAGTGGCTTGAGAGTGTGTGGCTGGAGCTGGGATTCAACCGGCAGATGAGCGGGTGTCCCGACACGCCGACCAAGTCTACCCTGAAAGACACGTTAGCTGGAGGTCTCAACAGAGTCTAGCATTGAGACGGACTAGGTATTCTAGTGGGGTGGTTCCTGCAGATCTACATCTTACAGCCGTAACCACTGGGCAGTCATCATCATATCATTTGGTGGTATCATCCACCAAACTACCTCGACTCGCGCGTCTACCTTATCGCAACTTTAGCTTCATCCGATTCCAAAGTCTCTTTTCTAACCCTTTTTTTTCGTTCCAGAACCCTGGTCTGTGCTACCTGAAGATCTGTTGCGAACATGCCATCAGCCTCTTCAAATGTATCCATTAATCAAACATAGGTAATTTGAAGCCTCTCTGTTCCTCCCATTCATCGCCGAGACGACGTCTATCGCCAGACTCCGCGTCTACCTACAGATAGGGCTGTCTCTACATCCCTCACTCAGAACCGACGTACCCGCCGAGCCCAATCTATCTCCCAATGCGACTCTCAAGCTGTACCGACGACTCTTGCTCCGCACTGGGGCTATCATCCCACTCGGTATTGTCCACCACCATATCTTTAGCGCCCTTCATCTTCACATTTGTCGTAGTTTCCGCCCTCGTCTTGAGAAATCTCTTCCCTCAACTCGCCAAGTTACACGCTTCCCGAGATGGAGATGACCACTTTCTGCCGTCCGATGCGCCATTGGCCTTGCAACAAGCCCACGCCGAACACGGATCCAAGTCTCTTCGCCGACGTATAGCTGCTGGCGCCTTTGCCACCACTATAGGCCTCGCTGCAGTTCTGGCTGAGCTCATTCTTTGCGAAATATCCGAGCTCGTCAGTCCTCATGCACGCGCCACCGCCTTGCGCATTACTGTACCAACACTGTTGTTCCTCTTGATTGTCCTTATTCCCTTTTTAGAGCTCCAGTCCATCATTGCTGGGTCGGGATGGTCTTTTCAACGAACTTCGAGGGGGCGCCTCCCCCGTATGGCTTGGATCCTACAGTTCGCCCTATTTTCCGGCTGGCTTTTTGCCTTCTGGTCTCTCGGAAATTTGGTACCGGTCAAGGACGAGATCATGCATCTCGGCGCTAAGATGGCAAAGGCACGATCTGATTCGGCAAGCAGTCTGGCACGTGCATGTCTTGAGCGCATTGGTGTAATTGGAATTTCACTCATGGCACTCCTGTCCGGATTCGCCTCTGTCTCTTCCCCGTGGCATACATTCGGAAATACGGTCTCGCGAAAGCCTGTCACAGACTCTGATATCGCCCGCAAACAGGCCGGCCTAGATGCCACCAACGAGATGCTTATTACCAAACGACACCGTTTGCAATCTCTGCAACGAAAGGTTGCTGACGCATCGGCCACCGAGAAAGGGTTTATGACTAAAATGATTGGCAGCATCCGTGGTGGCGGAGATGCGGCCGAAATTCGCAGTCTCCGCCTCGAAATCGGCGGCTTGGAGACTATGGAGGCAAATCTTGCTTCTAGCCTCAATCTGTTACGCTCGAGACAAGCCGTTTCAGATCGCGCGGCCACCACAGTTGGAAAACTACTCCTGATACCAACCTACGCTTTCAGCCTCTACTGTGTCTACCGAATCCTGGCCACAACCCTCACGACGTTACGTCGCCTATATTATCCTGGAGCCTCATTCTCCTCTTCTGACCCTATCAACCGATTTCTCGGTCTCTTGGCAAAACACTGGGACCCTAAGTTGGACCAAATCGCCTGGGCAAGGCAAATATCATTTCTATTGTCCGGCGTCATACTCGCCGCCAGCGCCAACAGCGCTCTTCAGACATTCCGCCTATTCGCCAAGTGGACACCGGGATTACTCTACCAAGCCCAGGCGAACCTGGCCCTGCTCATTGGACAGATCAGCGCTATCTACGTGATCTCAGCGGCGCTGCTCCTCCGGAGTAATCTCCCCAAAGACGTCGGAAGTGCGGTGGGCGATGCCCTCGAGAGCGCACTCGAACCAAGTTTTGTGGACAGGTGGTTTGAGGGGTGGTTCTTGCTCGCGAGCGCGGCCACGGCCGGCGGCATATGGATCGGTGGGAAGATTGGCGAATGGGGAGAGGATTGGGATGATATAGGTATGGAAGAGATGGGGCAGAAACGTTCATAGCACCGGGATACTGAAGAAAGAAAGGCAAGAGAGAGTTTTTCTGTGTTAATCCGTTCTCTTCAATGGGTGCCGGTTGGCTTTATTCAAATGCATGGAGTTTGGGCGATTGCGACGAAAATATCATATGTGGCTTCTTGGAGTTTCTTCAAAGGGGACGCACTTGACTAGGCCACAGCCATGGTAGCAATAGAGCCTTTTCTTACACAGCCTTTGGTAGCCCACATGTTCTGGCGATTTCAGAACCACTGATAGGGGTAAGGTACACCACTGCTCTTCGCTCGCCATGGTTTCGCTGAATAGGGGTAAACGGTGAGTTACAACAATCCTTATCGTCAATCGATGCATACAGGCGAAATCTTCTAAATCAAAAATGTGACCTAAAGATCATAAGACTCTGGTCAAAGATGACGGACGCGGAAGCTTTTTTGCCTTACATGCTCTTCTGAAAAACGAGGCTCCAGCCTCAGGGCAGCTAAGTTGACAGATACCCCGTCTCCCTCCACTTTTGGTCCCAAGGATTTTTCTCAAGACTTATATTAGGCAGAGCGATGTGCCCCCAACGCCCGTTTGGG